GAAAAGTGTCGCAGAGAAAAATAAATAAATACGACATCTGTCATTTAAAATTATATGCTAAGCAAAATATAAACAAAACCGAGTTGAACGTCCTTCAAGGACAGCGCATCCACACTTTGCTCCATTCATATTCTGCTCTGTCACTAATCAACAACCTGCCTGTTCTGTCTGAGGGCCGTATATTTACCACCGATACAGCCTGCTCTGAGCATCGTTATGCACATTCTGCGCACACCCCGCAAATAAAACGCGTGATGCAGAAAGCATGCATGCAGCACGTGCATAACAAACTGAGTGCAGGCTGTACCGGTGGTCAATAAGAATAAAGCGCAGATATGCTGTTCTGAATGGATGTCGGGAAAGGGATATTGTTAGACCGCCCGCTCCCGTTCAAATTACACCAGGGTTACTGACGCTACCGCATTTTATTCGTTTTAATCCCACGGCGCAAGAAATCTGGTCGGGTCCTGCGGGAATGCAGACATCTACTAGGTGGTGCTATAAGGCGGCAATTTATGTCTTTGTTCATAACCGTTTTCCTCTGAATCATTTTTCTAATTTCTCTTAGGCCATTGTTCCAGTCTATATTCAAATCTAATTTTTTTTTAAATGTCGTATGGAGTGGTGTAAAGTACTCTAAAGCAGTGGAAATGTGTGGAGTCACGAATCATGATTCTCCGTTTGGCAGTCTGAGCCAGGAGAATGTACCTGACTGCATTGTGCCAACTGTAAAGTTAGGAATAATGGTTTTATATATTAGGGCTGTCAAGCAATTACATTTTAATTAATCACATGATGTGATTGGCCAATTGATTATTAAAATTAAGTGCAAAATAATTGCACACCAATTTGGGCTTAGAAAAAAAAAAGTGTTAAATGAGAAAAGCATTGAATATACATTACAAAAAAGTAGCTATAGGAAGAAATATTTTTATTCAACAGAATTTATCACACACAAACTTTTAAGGCTACAATGTGGCCATAACATTGTTTTCTGAAGTGGCATTTAGGTATATTTACACAGACTGTTCATCAATTACAGTTGCATAAATAATGCTATGAGATTAATGGGTTTCAAATGGGCATTAGTGGGTGTTTTTTGAAATGTATATTTTTTTTAATGAAATGATAAAGTATGAAACTAAAACCGCTAGTAGGTGGCGGCTAGTCACTGACTTAATGAAGTAGTTAAGGAAATAAAAATATTAGGAAAAAAATACAGCTGCCATGTATCATTGTTTCATCCCCAATAAGCCGTTGGTGCTTGGACTGTGATAATTGTGGATGTGGTTGTTATAGATTTATATACTTGATATAGATTATAGATTTAAAACCATGTAATTTTGTGTCTGTTGTTGTTTGGGGCAACTGCCTGTCCAGACATGGTGAATTGGCATTTGATCTGGGATTTTTGAGTGGAATTTTTTTTTTAAATGTTGATTCTCGTTTAGTACAGAGTGCTTACAGTGATATGACAGACTATAGAAACAATAAAAAATAAAAATAAAGAATAAAAGATTGAGTATTTAAATTTATCACACACCTGCGGATAAGGTTGTTTTAACATGTAATAATGTTACTATACAGCCCTGACCTCTATGCATAACATATTGTCCTCTCCTCTAAGAAATGTATGCATAAATGTATCATTTGACTTTGTTTTGTTAGTTTTCTCATAAACTGCAATTTAATTAGATGATGTTAGTCACTGAGGAGATGCTTTCTTGTCTAAAATGAACACATCTTTCTGTTCTGCAGTATCTGGCCACTAGAGCGTACAACAAAACTCTTCTAATGGAAGAATTATTGCAGCGCTACTTTTGTGATGAACTAGCAGAAAGGCGAAAAGTACATGAAGAAGAGATGAAAGAATTGTCAAAGTAAGTTGACTTTGGATATAATGGTTTTCCTAACTTTTTTCTGGTCTTTGATGTACCATGTCTATACACACCTAGGTTTTGACCACTTCTCAAAGGCTGGTATCTTTGTTATACCCTGAACAGTTAATGATTTATTTGTCATCTGTATAGTAATTGTTCCCTGTTGGTTGTCAGGACATTAGTATTGTCTCTTGTTCATGTGTACATATTGCATTTTTATATTCTTCTTGTTTCAGCTTGAACCAGGAAGTGCCCATCTTTGTTTGCACTATGGCATTTCCTACCATTCCCTGCCCACTACATGTTTTTGAGCCTCGATACAGGCTTATGATTCGCAGATCTATGGAAACGGGAACGAAACAGTTTGGCATGTGCATTGCTGATGAACTGAAAGGGTAAGAGGCATTGAATTAATTTAAAGTGTGGGTCTACACTGATTTACTTAATAAGGAAAATCTGTTTGGTATTGCAATTCAAAACGTTAATACATCAAGTAACTGGTAAGAGTTTTTGTCTTTTTTTTTCATCCGAGTTCACTACTGCAGTGGAGTTTTGTTGTCGTAGCCTAGTTTTAATACAGTTTACATTTAAAGGGATACTCCACCCCAAAATGAAAATTGTCATTAATCACTTACCCCCATGTCGTTTAAAACCCATAAAAGCTTTGTTCGTCTTCGGAACACAATTTAAGATATTTTGGATGAAAACGGGAGGCTTGTGACTGTCCCATTGACTGCCAAGTAAATTACACTGTCAAGGTCCAGAAAAGTATGAAAGACGTCATCAGAATAGTCCATCTGCCATCAGTGGTTCAACCGTAACATTGTGAAGCGACGAGAATATTTTTTGTATGTGAAGAAATCAAAAATAACGACTTTATTCAACAATTTGTCTCCTCTGTGTCTCTCCGCATCACCGTAGCGCCATTTTGGAGAATATCCGCTGGACGCAAGCAGCGTATGCTATTCTGTGTCAGAATACTGCACGGATGTGCTGTTTTCGTTAAAATCAAAGCGTAAATACACGTAGAAAACGCATCCTTGTGTCGCGGCTGACACAGAAGAGCGTACGCAGTTTGCGTTTAGTGGATATTCTCCAAAATGGCGCTACGGTGATGCGGAGAGACACAGAGGAGACAAATTGTTGAATAAAGTCGTCATTTTTGTTTTCCTCGCATACAAAAAAGTATTCTCGTCGCTTCATAACGTTACGGTTGAACCACTGATGGCAGATGGACTATTCTGACGATGTCTTTTATACTTTTCTGGACCTTGACAGTGTAATTTACTAAGCAGTCAAAGGGACAGTCACAAGCCTCCCGGTTTTCATCCAAAATATCTTAAATTGTGTTCCGAAGATGAACGAAGCTTTTACGGGTTTGGAACGACATGGGGGTAAGTGATTAATGACAACATTTTCATTTTGGGGTGGAGTAACCCTTTACGCGGCAGCAAGATTAATTTTTACTGAGCCGAAAAGAATGCATGTGACACTTCTGTTTATCAATTTGCACTGGCTACCAGTAGCTGCTTGCATAAAATTCAAGGCATTAATGTTTGCCTACAAAACCACCACTGACTTTGCACCCCTTTACCCAAATTCATGACCTGCCCAACTCAATCCGAACAGCCGAGTCCTAAGCCATCTTCAAGAATTGGCTAAAAACATCTCTTCCATCTTTATTTGACCCTCTAACTCTAGCACTCTCTATTCTAATTCTATACTTTTAAAAAAAGAAAAAAAAACTTGCCCCTTTTAGACTTGCACTTTATTCATTTACTAACTGCTTGTTTTCTTTAAAAAAAAGAAAAAAGAAAAGAAGTTTTCTTTTTGTATTCTATCTGTTTTCTTTTTATTTATTATATAATAAAAAAACAAACAAACGAACAAACAAAAAAAAACTTGCTACGTGTATTGTGTTAAGCTAACTGAGACTTGTTATAGCACTTGCATTATATCATTGCTCTCTTGTTGATTTTGATTGCTTCCATTGTCCTCATTTGTAAGTCGCTTTGGATAAAAGCGTCTGCTAAATGACTAAATGTAAATATCATGTTAGCATTTCCCATGTGTTCAGTTGCTTGGAGATGTGCCTTTAATGTCTCCTGTGTCAGTAATGTCTTACTGTGTATGTGACAGATCCTTGCAGACTCTAGAGACTTGCTTGCGTTTGTTCATTTAATGGTAGTGAATGGTGACCGCCTTCAAGCTTTAAAAATATTCAAAATTCTCAAAATTTTATGTTTAAGTTTTTGAAAGCATTAGGGGTGTAACGCACACATATTCATATTGAACATTTTCGGTATAGGTGTTTTCCAGTTCGGTACGCATATGTACACAATGAGTACAGCGTTGTAGCCTATTAACCAGTCTTAACCATCAATAATCATGATAAGCTCTCTGTATTGTTATCTTCAATAAGAATCATAGGCTGTGTCCCAAATTGCCCCCATAGCCTTAAACAGTGCACTATTTGAGGGGACAGCTATTTGTAGTTGTCTGAAAGTCTGAAAGTGGACGTTGAGTGTACTCATTCAATCCCATAATGCACCACAATAACAACTGATGTACACTCACGGGATAGAGAATACCCATAATGCACTGTGAGGGTTGTGCCGAATGTATTCCCGCATCTCGCCATGAAGATGGCGCCCGCAGCTGAATCAACCATTCATCTGTTTTCCAAACCACTGCACCAATGTGGGTACAGTGTTATATCATATAGGTATAAATTTGGTTTAAATTGATCATTAAATAATTTAAGTAAGGTTTATAAATGCTTGTTTGGAACTGGAGAAGCCAGTTTGCTAAGTTACAAATCATTATTAAACGGCAAGCACAAACTATGCAAAATTGGCAGCCCTTCTGGCGCACTCTGTCCAAATTCGCTCACTCATTTTCTTTCACTCCTTCAACTGTACTATATTAATGTAGGGAAGGGTATAGGGTATAATGAGGGTATAGGGGGTGATTTTGAACACAGCAATAGCCTCTTCTTTCAAATTCGGTCCTTTTGATCAAAAAATTCAAACAATAAATGTAGTTTTTCCCATAGTTACATCGGTATTACTGCGCCACTGCATCTGTGTGTTGCTTGTCAACCATTCTACTATCAGTATTACTGTGCCAAAGAAGTAGTTTCAAAATGTCACATTTTGTTATAAAATAAATATTAGTAAAATATTTATATGGAAATAACTGTTTTATAAAAGCAATGCATCTAGTAAAGCCATGGTTTACACTGAATTTAGAACAACTAAGGGGGTTTTAGTCCGCTTAGCTGTTGTAAATTCATTGTAAATCACAGCTTCATGGGACTTATTGCTTTATTTACTTACTCCGTCTCACCCCAAACCTGCATGAATGACTTTCTTCTGTGGAACACAACAGAAGATATTTAGAAATTGTTAAATTTTCATCTTCCACAAAATTTCCCAACATTTTTAATTTTACTAAAACCTGGCCAACTACTGGTCCAGAAATGTGAAAGCTATTCACTCTAAAAACCAGTAGAGCATATATTTCATTAGAGCATATATTTATTTAAATAATTAAATTGCAGCCTGTGCAATTGACATTTGCACTAAGCCATATTGCGATATTGATTTGATTTAAATATATTGTGCAGCCATACATATTACCCAAACAGATTTGAGGCTGTAATCACTGCCAAAGGTGCTTCAGCTAGGTGCATAAAGGCCCCAATGTATAGTGAAATCGATGTCTTGGATGTGGAATCTTTTCAGGTAAACCTACCTTGCCTCGGCCAAACCATTCGATATCATAAAACCATTTGCATTTTAGCATCCTCAGTGTCTTGACATTATGTTGACATTATGTTGGTGGCAATCGGGCAGGACTATGTAAAAAGTTCAGAGTAGCCGACTTTCTGTTGAGCAGAGCATATGACATGCAGTACGAAAGTTGTTCAGCTCAATGATATCTATATGTGTCCTGGGTTTAGTGCATATACTTTCACTGCTTTGGGCCCTAATTAGAAATAAGTGTTAATGTATTAATGTAGTGCATAAAATCTTGACATGGAGTTAAATGGCTGAGGTGTGTGATTAACAGGTTTGCAGACCATGGCTGTATGCTGGAGGTGAGGGATGTCAAGTTTTTTCCTGATGGGCGCTCTGTAGTGGACACCATAGGCATTGCTCGTTTCAAAGTGCTCAGTCACGGCCAGAGAGATGGATACCACACAGCCAAGATTGAATATTTGGAGGATAAGAAGGTACAGATATATTTTTGCATTCAATTGAAGTATGAATGCAAGTGTCCAAATCCAAAAAAGGGATTGTGTGAGAGAGACAAAATCACCAGTCTTCCACATTGACCATATATGTGCATGTGTGTTCAGGTTGAAGGAGAGGAGTTGACGGAGCTCCTGAAGTTGCATGACTCTGTGTATGATCAGGCCTTGGGCTGGTTCACCTCCCTTAAAGATGATATGAAGAACCAAATCATCAGCCACTTTGGGCAGCTGCCTGTCAAAGACTCTGACCCACGGGTGAATGTTTAGACCAAATCATTCTCACATTTGTTCTAAATCACCGTTCACAGTAATCTTGCCTCCAACCTGTCTGCTGCATATCACACCAGTATTTTATTTTTATTTTAAAAAATGTGTAGTTTGGCTTTATAGCCAGGTTTATGTTGCGATTTTAAAGGGGTCATATGACGATGCTAAAAAGAACATTATGTTGTGTATTTGGTGTAATGCAATGTGTTTATGCAGTTTAAGGTTTAAAAAACACATTATTTTCCACATAATGTACATTATTGTTGCTCCTCTATGCCCCGCCTTTCTGAAACGCGTCGATTTTTACAAAACTCATCATTCTGAAAAGCGAGGTGTACGCTGATTGGCCAGCTATCCAGTGCGTTGTGATTTGCTGAATACCTCAAGTGTGTGACGGAAATGTTATGCCCCTTAACACACTGTCTCCTGGCACGGCGAGACAAAACCAATAAAACCCATTACAAACGAGGCATTTGTTGCATCCAGTGGGGACATAATTACGGATTATAATGATTTATACTGTGTTTTTACGCGTTGCGTAACATATCGCGCCGCATAAACATAAAACCATGTCTGCATTCGTGATCGGAGAAACGACAAACAACAAGCGCTACTCGCTTTAAATATAAAAAATTTACTTGCAGGCTGTGAGTCAGAAGCACCAGACTGTCCTTGCAAAGTTGTAACTGCCCCACTTTATAGAACAGCCTTTGAGCACAGACCCATTGTATGTTGCTCTGCAGGTTCAGGAAACAGTCTTCCATAAAATGCGTCTCACACGATGGGCTTAAGTGAGCGGAGGCCGGCGGCCTTGAGAACGGCGCGGCCAGCGGATTCGGCGAAGGAGCGGCCGGCGGGCGTGCGGCAACCACATGTGACGACCCCGGGCTGGACTCCGCTTCGTCCACGGTGAAAGCCGATCCGGCGATCCCTTTAAAATGGCAATCTAATACATTCAGTGCTAATGTTTGATTGTTATTTTTTTTCTCAGGGTAATCCCAATGGCCCTGCATGGTGTTGGTGGCTGTTGGCTGTGTTGCCGCTGGAAAACAAAGCCCAGCTGACCATCCTCGCCATGAACGCTCTTAAGGATCGGCTGGTCGCCATCCGCAGGGTCCTCATTTTTGTAACTCGCAAGCGGCCTCGATGATAAATGTGTTCTTGGTCTAAATATGATTATCAAAATTAACCTATAGCTTGGGAATGCTGATTCAGGCTGGGGTCACTGAGGTTTCTTCCAGTGGCCATCTTGGTCGTCATTGCAGCACGCAACCCTCACCAATTAGTCACATGGGACATTGTTCAATAAAAATGTTTTGCATCTTAATATGTTAATTTAGGCTCATCAGTTAGCAGTGGTGATTTTAAGTTGTAGTCATGCTATGAGAGAGATCATTATTGATGGCTTACATTAGGAAGTTCTCATTTAGTTCAGGTGCAATCAAATCGTTTACCAGTTTAACAGTAGCAACAAACATGAAGACAGTGGGAACTTAGTTTTTTTTCTTAAGCACCTTCGGTCCTTTGAAAATACCACCTCTGTTTTGTGACTAGATGGTGTGTATGACTGACCAAATGCTTCCCATGGGCTTGCAAATATCAATACGGACCTTATTGTGTGTTAGTAAAAAAAAATCCATGTGCTTCAGTTTGGAAATAAGCACTCACCTTATTTCCATATTGTAAAAGATGATTAAAGAAACGTATTTAATATTACATGTACTGTAACCCTGCTTTCTCTGTATCTTTGTTTCTTATACACATTTAGATGCCTAGGTCATTCAGAAACTATGAATTCAGTCAGAAATTGCAATGTTCTGCTGATGTCCATTCAATTTTCCTCCATGAATTTAAAAAGCCGCACTCTCCAACCTTGAATACAGTCTTAATGATATTCAGTAACAACCACAGGTGTGGTTTTTATATTTCAAGAGCCTGTTTGTGATTTTGTCTTGAATTGAATCTTAATTGGAAAAAAATTTAAACAATCAGAATGAGTAAATTGTAAACTGGAGCCAAATTGTGTAAAGTCCTACTGTAAAACATGTTTGAACAAGCACCGTTTTAATGCGTATGAAACATCAATTGGAGAGTGCAGAGTGCAATGTGTGGATGGGGGCTTATGTCTATATAACAATCTTTTATAGACAATAGGAGGCCTTTGAACGTTCACACTCATTTTTCTTCTCATTGTTCTTGTCTCTGTGATGTGCATGTCTTGTGTATGTCCGTTATCTACCTTTTCCTGTGCAAATTACTACTTAAATGCTGCATTTATGTAAATTTGTAAATCAATATGAAATAAAACATTTTATATTTTAAAGCAAAAGATGTTCTGTTTCTATGTGCCTTTTCAAAGCCACTGAATTGAATGAGTCAGAGAAGTCTGGGACAGTCATTACAATGTTTGCTAAAGGCAGTAATGTTATGTGTTATGATGTTAATAATAGATGTCCCTGTCATTTATGCCTTAAAGGGATAGTTCACCCAAAAATGAAAATTCTGTCATTAATTACTCACCCTCATGTCGTTCTAAACCTGTAAGACCTCCGTTCATCTTCGGAACACAAATTAAGATATTT